GTGCATGCCAACAGGCTTTAGTGTTATCATGGTTCAGGACATTTCAGTTGGAATGAAGTGAACAACGGAACAAAAGACGCTGCTGAAGACGTGTCACCTGGAAAGGCCACTGTCGAAGAAGAAACTCTACTCGGTTTTGAGAAGGGAAATAGTGAAGCACTTCATGAAGTTACTACCACTGAGGTGACCATTACCGATGATAGTACAATTCCTGATAAAGCAGATGAACCTCACGTGAAGCAGAAGCCAGTATGGAAGAAGATACGTCCCGTAAAATTAAGAGACTTTGTTGAATTTGAATTTTTGTGTTTGTAGTGTTTGCAAATTCTGTACATTTAATTAAGTTATTGTTAATTATCTATTGGTTTAATTTAAGTGGCTATTGTTCGGGACGAACAATACTAAGGAAGGGGCAGTGTTACGACAGCGGTTGTCACGTGACGCTAGTAACACGTTATGATATTCTCTAAAGTTCGTGAATGCTCGAGTGTTTACTAGATGTACAGTATTCTTGTATATAAGACCTCCAAGAAGTGACGGCAACAATGGAATTGAATTGCAGACAGACATAGAGACGGACAATTGAGTCAAGCGCGTGAATCGTTCGTTGTGAATCATAGCGTTTGTTTAAGTTATAGCGTGACTGTGGAAATTAACTGTATTGCAAAGTTGTATTGAGACAGAATAAACTAGTTTTATTTAAGAAAGGACTTGTATCGCTAAAGTTTCTTCGGAAATAATTTTTACGGAAAATTAACAAACGGTGTCGACGACGGTGCCATTCACCCTAATACGGTCCGGTCCGACAGACATTATTAGTTAAAACGCTATATACTTAATACATTTTTCTGGTACAATTCGTTTCTATTTTTATTTTAAAGTACTTTAGACGTTCTCTCTAATTTTTATATATAAGAAACTTTAAACAGAATTTTTTACTTTTATATCTAAGGTCACTTTCGCGTGTGTGGCCTTACACAGGAACACCGGTGGTTGCAACGTGTGTTCTAGGTGGCGCCACTGCAGTTGTAGCTTTTCTTATGAGCTTGAACGTGCTTGTGGAAATGATGTCAATCGGTAAGGAAAATATGTTTCCGAAATGTATTTTCAAAATGAACTTGCAATACAGAATGTATATTATCTTATTAAAACCGTGCAGTGTTTATTTTTATTTTTTTTCTTATACTATTGCTTTGTTTCTCTTCTGCCATTTCCATCTTTTTCACGACGTAAATTATCATTCTTGTTTTCTAAATTTAACTCTTTCCATTTCTCATTCAGTTTACCATTTGCCCACTTTGCTTACGTTATCAAATCTTTTAGACCGTTCTTCTAGCTAGTTCAAGTAATATTACGACATTAATAAAATGTCCACAAGATAAATGTGTAGGTAAATATTCGTTGCTGTTGTCACTAGGGACCTTGATGGCTTACACTCTTGTGTCCACTTGTGTGCTGATTCTCCGGTACCAACCCCACAATACTACCCTGGTGGAGCTTCTCCCAGAGTCTATCAGGTCCGCTTGCCCCACCCCCTCAAAGGAGGTAGCGACACCTATTGACGACTCGAGAACTACTATTCACACCAAGCGAACCAATCGAATAGAATCTTCCGACAGTGAAGACTCCCCTGCACTAAACGACTTAAACCACTTGAACCAAATTCAGAAGTCTCAGAGGCCTGAAGATCTCGATTTGTTAGTGCCAAATGGTAGTGTCGGAAATTCTGTTTATGGAACAGTCGATCACAACTCCTTCACAAGGTCCAAAATTTCTGGTCTATTCCTGAAAATCCTAGATAAAGTCATGACTCGGCTATTTCCTTATGAATGGACCGTTTCTAAACCCGCCACAGAATGTTCTGGACAGTTTGTGACGAAGATTGTTGGAGTGTTGTATCTTCTAATAATCACCTTTGATTTGCTTATTGTCTGTGCAATGCCTGCCTTGGAAAGCGGAGACATTACCACGCTGTTGTTATTTTCTTTGTGCGTTTTGGGGATTATTATTTGTCTGATTGTCATTGGCTCTCAACCTCAAACGAAGTAAGTCGTAACACGAACTTTTTTTAGAAAGTTTTGGTGTAAGTACTTAACTAGTTAGTATTATATCGAGAAAAAAGATAGTATTTCGTAATTGTAAGAAACAAATTAATAGTTCAAGACAAGATAACTTCAAATAATTTTGTTAGAGTTATGAGTAATAAGTGGAATGTGAAGATATCATAATTTATGGTACTGTGTAAACAATGAGAAGAACGGATATCTTTTGAATAATGTCTGATAATTGATACCTAATGATTCGTCACTAACAGAAGAGCAATGAATATTTTCAACATTTCGTTTAAGTTACTATCACTATAATTAGAGAACAACTGATACTATTTAAAAAAAATGATATAGAGCAGGTTTCTATGGTCTTTCTCCAGGTGTGACCTCAAGTTTAAAACTCCCGGAGTGCCACTTGTTCCAACCATTGCTATCATAGTCAATATCTATTTGATATTAAAGTTATCTATCCTCACGCTTATCCGGTTTACCATCTGGATGATATTAGGTATGTGTAGGTTTTATAAGTTATATCGTCTGTCTGTGATGCGTACAATAGTAAGTTGTGATGTTTGTTAGTCATTCTTCTTTACTTTCATTCTTAAGTTCTTAGAACACGTTCTTCAGATTAAATACAACAGTAATTATTATGTGTATGTCGATATTGAACAGCACAATATAGATTACACGTGCTTTAACATCGCAGTAAACTATAGTACTTAATGGTAATAAAAACTATGGTAAGATATACGTATACTAATGGTCTAATAATTTATGGTATTTATTTGTTGCAATACTAGGATAATTTATTGCTTCAACCTGCAATAACTGTTTGTAAGTTAGTGTGTGGGGGGGGGGGGGGTTAGGTACCATACTAAACCACACCAAATTAAGTTATAATTACGATATAAAGTAATTAATAGTGTCCAATGGAAGGAATTAATACTACGGTACAGTAAATATACATCATAAGTTATAATACAACACCAATTACCAAAGACAACGTGATTTTTTTATATAATGGGTATCATTATATGCTATACAAGTAAATGCTCATACGCAGTATTTATAAATCAGGCTATAATTGTAATGTATTCTCAATCTGTAGTATACGATTTAAAAGCTTTTGAAGCTTTTTTCGTGTGTTTTCCGTAACACGTAAGTAACAGAAACTTAACTGCAAAATAATTATTGACTAAGTGTCAGGATTGTAACAAAGAGTTAAGATTAAAGAAGTATAATCTTAAGATTTATTCAACCACAAGATAAAGTTAGGACAATTTAGAAACTTTTATTTAAGATCAAATCTGTCTAGTGCACTACCTAGGCTTTGCCCACCAAAGAGATCGAATCCAAAATTTTAGCATTATAAGTTTTCAAGCTTGTATACATATATGTTTTACTACATATGTATACATATTAAATTCTAACTTACTGCCCTAATATGAGCAACCAATAGTCATTTATATTTAAAATCACCTCAATTATTGTAGGTCTTCTGATGTACTTTCTCTACGGAATTAAGAACAGTTCTCTGGATTTTCTTCCTCAACCTGTCATAGAGATGAAAATGCCTGAAAGTAAAAGACAAAAAGCTCTGGAACATTTTCAAGAAGACTTCAGCACAGCAAAGATCATAGACAACACGAATAACGTTTCGAGGAGCTACTTATCGTTGCCGCTAGATGGCACTGTGCGAGAAGTGCCCATGAACCATCAATCAAGCGGCAAAAACGGCAATAATGAAAACTCAACTGACGCCAAATGGGAATCTTTTGACTAAAAATTGTATGAAAATAAAATCAAAACATTTTAAGTTTATTACGGTTCTTGAAGTTATATTAATATTCCTATTTTTGAAGGAAACTTGATATTGTGTGTAAGTCTTTCAACTTGTCTTATTTGATGAAAAAATTATATTTCCTTTCAAACTGTAATTAAAACATTGGCTTAATGAGAAAGCTGATTTACGGTGTATAAATATATATATCCATGTGTTAATCTGAATTTCCTTATAACCCTCTGAATTAACTTTAAATTGTTTTCGTTTCGTATTCTTACAAGATTGGGAAATATTTTTGAAAATATTAGCACCATCTGCTGGTTTGTATTGAAAACAATAATTTTATTTTATAACAATTGTGTGCTAGATTGACCTAGATCACGAAATCAATCTGGGCCTTATCTTAGTTTCTGGTTTCGATCGTGCAAAGGTTTATCTCAACGATATATTAATCTAATTATTTATATATATGTCGTATATTTGTGAGCTTGTGACCTTACACTGTTACATTATGTAATTTTCGAGCAGTGACAACATTATTATTTGTATACCTACTAAGCAATAATATGCGACTTTTCTTTAACTAGCTGACCTCTTAATTGTGTTACTTTTGTGTGAAGGCAAATCGTAGAGCTATTGAATGAACAGAGCAACGAACAAACATACACCAAGCATTTCTAGTTACGCGCTAACTGAATTAATAGGAATTATTACTAAAGTATTGTAATGAGTTAGTAGTTAGTAGCCACAGAGAAAGTTAATCTTACACTGATGAATTTAAAAAAGAATCCCAGTGCATAGAAGGGCAAAACAAGTTATTAGTTTTAAATCAAAATATGTTTATTTAACTAAACGTTTGAAATCCAGAACAGCTGGACAATGTTTGACTTGTCAGTGGTACCCTGGATAACTTTTTTTTTGGTTTTATAGCTTTCAAGTAAAAAGACCAAAACACAGCCGCCACCTGGCGTGATTTTAGGAACTTCAACAAACGTAAAAACATATAAAATTATTACTGAAAATAAAACTTTGCCATCCCTATTCATTCTTTCTCCAAAAAATAATGATTTTCGCGCCCTATTATTTATGACAATTTTCGAACGTTATCATATTTTCACGCACAATATTAATGAATTGAACTTTACAACATTACGCAATGGCTGGTAAGAGATGCTATGCTCGTTATAAAAGCAATACAAGTTTTCATTAATGTTATTTCTCTATTGAATCGATGTTTTCTTGTACATATTTAAATTGGCACTTTAATATTGAATATTTTTTCATGTAAGTTTACGCTGAAAGTATTGGAGTGCTCTGCTTTTCAAAATAGTGACGTTTATCAATGCTTATTAACCTTTATCAACTAACGCTTCTTGTATTATTCTAACGTTTTGTCATCACTTTTATTGTGTGTAGTAATGTTAACGCTTCTCGTTCTCCAGAAAATGTGAAATTACATATCCCGATCTGTTTTTCTTAAAAGTGCCTATGTGTCCAAAGTTTAGAAATTGTTTTTGCTGTTGTTTTCAGTTTTAGTGTTTCGCAGATTTCTTCTGGTGTCTTAGATTGGTCAAAAACCACAAATAAAGATGGTTTGTAAATCAACGATGAAATTCTTATTACTCTTTTGCAAAATATATCAGCAATAAAAACATTCTGCTAAATGAGTTTATCTACATGGTTATAAGAATTTATATGGAGTACTGTGATTTTCTTGAATGTAACTGGTATTAAGTCGTTAATAAAGATTCGATTCGATAAAATGGCTACCCTTTCTCTCTCTCGTCTTCAAAATAGTTGTTAGTTTAACTTTATATTATTTCTAAATAATCAGATTAAAATTGTTTGTAGTTAGGATTATTATATATATGTATATATTAAAATAATTGTCATACCACACTGGTTGGCTTGTGAAGCCCGAAAAAGGTTAACAAGGCAGAATTATTTCATTGCAAGTTATTGAAAGTAACTTAAGTATTATAGTTTCAGTATTTTAAAATTAAAATAGTTATACTGAATGAAACTAATTCATCAGGATATATTGGATTGTAATTAAAGGATAATGTTCCTCCTGCAAGAGTGGCTGTGTTAAAAATGTGAATACACGGTGACTTATTGTATCCAACTGAGAGAAATGTACCACCCATAAGGTTTCCTTGTTTTTTCTTTTTTCATTAATGAGATCACTTCTTTTTTTTACATCTTTCAGCTTTATTCATTTCAAGAATAATACACAAGAATATTAAAATAACTTTCAAAAATCGATTTTAAAAACAAACAAGTTTTAAATCCGTTTAATTATAGGCGACGAGAGTAGTAATGAGTCACAGAAACATAAACTATCCAAAGATCGTTTCGTGATACAGAAATACAAGAACAAAAAATCTCAAACATAAAAGATTTACAATGGTGCTTTATTACAAAAAAAAACGTACATACAATGCTTCACAAAGAGGATCATAATAATATACATATACACCATATTGGAGTAGTCAACTTCAGCTTACCAAAGGAAACCAAATGGAAAGTTCATGATTTCTGGAGCCTAACATTTAAAATATTTACTTGCTAGCAATATTGATTGTACCACAAATCGTTCTATTTGGGTTGAAAATAAAAACGTACGGCTATGAATCAAGCTGTTTTCATTTATTTCGATTATTTTAAGCGTTTTAAACTGGGTATTATTTCCAATCTAGATCAAGACCTACAAATTACAAAACGACGGATTACACCTGGTTTATAACTGAGAAAAGTGCGGCATCACACCATGTCCATATTTCAGATGTATGTGAAAGAATCCAGTATATTATTATTGCTTCTAATTATAGTTCATATGCTAAAAAATATACTAATTGTCTACCATCCCTACCCCTTCAATATATACTAAATATTCCTATATAAGGCCTTTGACTAAAATACATAAAGTAAATTTGTTTTACTAGGTTAGATACAGAGGGAGAGGTAGACAGTGCCTACCATTCAGCTACTGGGGCTTCATGCACTTGGAAGTACCTGATCAAGAAATGAAAGTCAATTTCTGTCAACATACATTATTTATACACGTATATGTATATCTGTTAGTGCATAAGAGCCACTGTAAGCCATTAAGTTATGTATTGTCGTGTTTTTAAAAGAAATAAAATGCAAGGTCTTTTGGTAAAGTTGGAGTTAAATTAAAATTTATACAACAGGACTCGAAAACATTGTGCCATCTTACGTAACTCTGGAAATATCACAAAAGCACGCACATTATAATTACAGATTATTGTATTAATAATTTTTGTTAACAAATGCTGTTTTACAAGGTCAAAAACTTTTTGTATTGGTCGTATGTATCGGATTTCATAGGGTTTTTCAAGGCTTATACTAAAGCTATAATCTCTCCATAAACTTAGGCCTAACGTTACAAATTACTTCTGTAATTAGTAAAGTATGTTCTGGCGACGAATACTGTCCCTTTTTTCAAAGGAAAGTTTGAATAATGTAGTATACGTTTTCACTTTTTCACTGTAGCATCACCTTTGCTACAAAAGTAACATAAAAAACACTCACTAATAGATATAAAAAGTTCATTAACGAAATGCGATTCCCCGTTTCTTGATGTACTCGTTGCGCTTAAAATTACAGTTGAATACCGAACAAATGTTGTGATTTTTAGAATTGACATCCAGCTGTTCTAATTTATTATAAACGGTTTTGCCGAAGAAGCTTGACCGCGTCAACATGGCAGCTATGCTGAGGTACCTTGAGCAGGTTATGTCGCATCTAGCGTTCTAGATTATGCTTCATGTGATAGCGCAAGGTGAAAACGAACGCATATTTAGATTATCTGTTGTTTTGTCGTTGTTTTTTTATGTTAGTTAGCTTAAAAGTTTTTTTTGGGGGGGGGGGCAAAGCATTCGAGACGAATACACTGTGACGGACGGAATGTCAAAATAAAATTGGACCTGAAAGCTAATTACTTGAATAACTAAGAGAGGGCAGCACATTCTTAATGTAGCAGAGTGAGCCGCATTTCCTAATGTGACGTCATCTAAAGCTTGGTTGCTCTGTTTTGCTACGTGTTCACATTTGGAGATTCATAGCATGATGTCACAGTCAACACAAGAGAGCTTTGTAAACATAAACTGGTATGGCGAGGGAGGGGCTAGACTCAGAGCATCAAGTCTTTTATTAATAATAAATAGTTTTCAGTTTTGGTTTGTGCTCTTATTGTACCTATCATGACACTTCCAAACTAATGCCACTTATGTTAGTTTCATTTGTGTACTGTACTATTTGCATGTTAATTACCTATACTTTTTATCAGATGTGTGTATTTCTGAAATAAAAGTTCATGACTAAAGTAACCAACGAATAGGCATGCGTACTGTAATAAAATATCATGGTTGATTACACAAAAATATAACATTCAACAGGAGAATACGTGAAAAGCAATATAAATCAATCTTTTTTTTTTTCTTTCTTTTTTTTAGGTAATGATATAAATCTGCACCTTTTGACTCCGGGAAATACATGTATGTTTGTGAAGAATATAATAAATACACATTTAGTGTACCGGTAGTACGTATCGTGTACCAATCATGACGAAACACACAGCTCAACACATGCGTCAAATCTTTTCGCCACTAAAAACCGTCATTTGCTGCAGTGCATTGCCGAAGGCACAATGAGGCACTAAATATTAGAATACCACGTGGCGATAGCGCTGCTCTCTACCAGGAACCACTCGAATTGCCATTTCATGGAATGTTTGTTCGTAACCTTTATGGGAAGCGTTACGAGTATTGACGTTTGCTTCTGTTTTCAACAATGGGACATCCGGTTTTTCTGATGGCTCCGCTATTGTGGTAGTTTCCTGAAATATTAGAAACACGGTTAATCAAGATTAAGTATTGAAACTACAGGTAGGAGACGATGTGGGTATTGAAACTACAAGTGAGAGACTATACGTCCATCCTAGTCCTACGTTAACTTTGTTATTTATTACAGCAATCAAACACGCCTAGTTTCTGTTAAAATATAATCTTACTTTTAAACATATACTAAAAACCTGTGAGATATACAGCAGCTACACGAACTTCTGAAATTCGTCGGCTACGTTTTGGATCCTTTCAACTATCTCCCAGCATTCATGCACAACTAAACGTGCTCACATTAAAACTAATCAACTTGGACTCCTACGAATTCTTTTCATCACACTAATTACAAAATGGGATTTACAAATAACGGTTTAAAATTTCCAATTCGAGTTTTAGCAATCAAGGGTAAAAACTATGATTTTTTTTTACTTTATGCAGTAGTTTTCACTTTCGATTATTTTTTATTTTTTTTGTTTAACTTGATTTCACAAAACATGCACAAAACAAACCAATATAAAGCAGTTTTTGTTGACAGGCCCTATAGTCTTTAGACATTGAGTCACTTCGTAGCATGTGCATATTTGGACTGCGAGAACACTTTATTCATTGAGTCACTTCATGGCAGGGGCGTATTTGGACTGCAAGAACAATCTTATGTTAGCTCATATCGATTAGGAACAAGTATGAAACGTGGATTTCATACAGATCACTTACAGTGATATATCAGAACAGTTAGCCGGACAGCAGCCAATTTCACTCTAACATTCTCATTCACTCTGCGTTTAACGTAAAATAGTTTCTTATTCTAATGATAGATTTAACACCTTGAAACTTAAATCACTCGAGGTTATACCTGCTGATAAACACTGCACAATAATGTATTGAGTCTTGTTTGTTTTTAAGGCATATTTACCAGTGAACTGTAGTGTTATATGAAGGGTCTTTTTTGGTACATTATACACCTCTACTTTAGGGATGGAAGCTCTATGGATGTGCTCTTTGATCATGATTATATTTTAAACATAAACCTGAAAACACGATAGTAAAGTGAGCCGCATATTCAACCTCACATTGAAAGAGAGAGGCATAGTTGATCATTAGGAAAATTAACCTTGGAAAGTGATTCTGTCACAATAGTTTCATGAGCTTTTTAAGGTTTCTTTTACAGTAGAATTTCCTACTGCTTAGAGAAAAGGAACTGCGTTTTAATATTATGGAAAAATACGTAAATAAGTTGCATGTTACAAGTTGTTTAAAAAATCAATTGTGCGCCTTTTTTTATGGGAAACCTGGTGGGAATTTTGACCCCTTCATGTTTCTTCTGGGGCAGTAGGAGTCACCATGCCAAGTTTGGTGGGGATTGGTCAAACAGTGTGCGAAAAGTTAGCGGACAGAAACACAACAGATTTCGCTTAAATAAATAATTATATAGATAGATAGATAGATTAGATTACATTGAGGTCCAACCCCTCCCCCTTATGACGTTTTTTTTTTTTCATGTCAGCCAGTATCACTGTGTCAAGTTGTGCTGATTTGGTAGTTTTCCGGGATTAGATGGAGGCCAACTTCTCACTGGGAATTTGGACCCATCCATGTTACTTATGGTGACCGAAGGACTCAACATGATAAAGTTTGGTGGAGATGGGTTAAATAGTGTGCGGGGAGATAGCGGACAAACAAACGTACAATTTTGCTTTGGACTGTTTTCCTGGCTTTAACTTTTTTAGCCTGCTAAGCTGAAGAAGTGCGCTTTAACTTAGGCAATTTCAAAATTGAAATGTGCTGAGACTAAAACATGCGGGATATTATAGCGTTCCGATTGGATTAAATTTAGTGATGTTGCATTAATATGTCTCCTTGACAACCAAGCAAACGTAATGGGGAATTTCAGCCAATTATTATGAATTTTATGCGCCAGCAATACCAAGCGTGGGGCGCGCGTACACCCGATTTGATTTTATTACTCATCACGAACTCGACCAACATACCCTCAACTCTAATCTATTATATGCCCAAAGTTAACGGCGTGACAGATAAACAGACAGAATTTTGACTGTCCATGTTATTCCTAGCAACGGTAGGAGTCACCACGCCAAGTATGGTGGAGATTGGTCAAATAGCGTGCGAGTAGTTAACAGACAAACATACAACAGATTTCACTTTTTAGCCGCGGCATAGCAGCTCATAGACTGACTGACGTTTTTCTCAAATACAAACGTTTAGCTCACAGCTCCATCTCTTGACCGATTAGAGATCTAATTACAGTCGCGGCTATTGGAGATTCCCTCTTGTTCTTTATAAAATGCTTAATCAAGTTTCAGCCTTCAATTCTCACCAATAAGGAAAAATATATTGGAAAATATATATATTCTCCTCCTTGCGTCACTTACTTCTGGGCAGACAGTTGGTTTGGCTGGCGTATTTACTACCCTGTCCAAGAAACGAATTATTTGCGCATCAACTTCTTCAGGATCGACAGGAACAGTGGGTGTTGTGAAACTGGCTAGAACACATACGATCATAGCTGCAACAAACAGAAGTGCCACAATCCCCAAACTGAAATAATAATAAACGTATTTAGCTACATTCATCAAAAATTACGTTATATATATATATATATTTCAGTAGATAATTTTTCACTCAAACCTATAACTTATACCAGAAGAGATGCGAAAATTCTAATATAATAACTAGAGTTCATAATAAATATGTTTAATTATGAGTAATAGGCAAACTACAAAAATCTTCTATGACAACTGTGCCCTAGGTCACAAGTTGAATATCCTTCCTGCTATCGGCGATTTCGGCCTTCAACCCAAAAACACCTGACAAGATTTGGTCTAATTGGCGATGTTATGTCGTACTCAGGACCGGCCCTTAGGGGAATACAGCAGATGCGAGGCACCCGGGCCCTAAACTCTGTATAAGGTCGGTAAATTTGACCGACGTCATAACCACCAAAAAAATAAATTTAAATTACTGCTGTAATTTCGAAAACCTCATAGAGGAGTGGGCCAGTGATGGTGCATGAAAATATAATTTCACTTGAATTTTTTAAGAACATTTTCTTTTTCATTGTTATTATTACATCTGCTTCCATTTTGCTATGTTTGGAAACTGGGTAGGTCATTACTAAAACTGAGTTTCAGATGCATCATGCATGGTTATATATTTTTG